CACTAGCGGAAAACCCGGAAGACAGTGAAAATAAAAAAGTCGTTCAACTGTAACACCCTTTCGGTGCCTAACTGCCATGACGCCCGAAGGAAGCACGAGGGTTGGGATACTGCCAGGTTGCCCAAGCCTAGACAGGGGAAGTCGGGAGGCAGAGGTCGGGTGCGAACCACGGACCTTCCGGTCAGTAAATTCGCGCTCCAACCACTTGAGCCATCTCGCCCCCAAAGGAAGACAGTGAAAGAACAGAGAAACCAAACGGAAACAATCCACGATTCATCACTTTCCTGACAAAGGTGGAGCTGAAACCTCCATATATAGGAAAGCAGGTTCGAAAATGCTACATGCGACAAAATGCTCTGCTAGTAGTGTAATCCTTCACCATTCCTAAGGACAAAAAGCATCACAAGACACTTCAGCTGCATCTCTTAAGTGCATTTGATGGCATACAGACAACGGTGCTTCACTGCAATACAACTACAAAGTTTGCCTTTTGAGCCTTAAAGTGAAAAATAGAAAAGAATGGATGAAGAAGGGACCTGGTACTAGCCTATTGCAGGCATTCTGAGGTGCGTCCAAACGCTCAGTCAGATGGTCTGGGGAAAATGAGAGTAGGAACGCGAGACATCGATTAGTTGCTATTCCCTCTTGATGTCTCCAGTCGGGCGCAGGTGAGAGAATTCACAAGAACCCGGAAGGCGGATCACACTAGAAATATTCAAACTCTTCAAAATCTCTTTCGCACACTTCTGCCAAGTCACGACTTATCCATCGAGCAGTTTATGCCATTCTGAAGGGGGACACGGGGAAATACACTCGTAGACGATGCTTCGGCATGCGTAGCACATGATTGAGCCACTGCAGCTGATGGCGCTAGATGCCCTCCGTTTTCTAAGAATACTGGTGGACGCCATCCAGCACCAGCAACAATTCTGAGATATCGGTCATGAAAAACTGACGACGTCTCACATCATCTGTCCGCACAGACCATATCTCGCAACTATACAGGTCTACAGGTGTGGCCTGGCACACCCAGTGACGCCTTCTGGATGTCACAGGTGACAAAGTGGGAAACGCGATTCGGGTACCGAATTCCGTCAGAGCCAACACAACTAGCGAGGTATGTAAAACTCTCCGCGGGCTCAAGTACTCCTACCTGAACTGCAAAGGGTCTATTCAGAAACTGCATGTTGCAAATCGCGGATGACTACGCACGCACTACGCGTGCCGAAAGATGGTACAAAGGCGGTGAGTGCTTGAGCTTAACCTTCGAAGATTAGGACGATATCGTCTAATCCTGCAGTGGTATGAACACCAGAGTTTTGAAGACCCTTCAGAGATTGCCTCATAATTTCATCGATGACGAAGTTGAAAAAAAGTTGAGTCAAAGAAGCCAAGAAAAAAGTAGAACATTGACGAATACCATAGCTTAGCTCTGCAGTGTATACGAGATTTTTCTAGCTGGGGACCTTCAATACACTATTCGGAAGGGATTAGTCTTGACTAAGTCTTAAAAAAGTTAAAAATTAGCGAAACGCCAAACTTACTCAGCAAAGTTGATGACCTCTCTGAACAGCTGATCGAAACTGGAGTGGAATTCCTCCATTTCCCGCTCACTTTCATGCAGTTTGTAATCATGCGAAATGAGAACATGAGCATGGTGAGCTCGGTCCCACAAAGCCTTCTCGACTCGTTCATCGTATTGGCCGAACGGGCTGGGAAGTTGGCAGATAGATGAATTGGCATTAGAGGAAAACTTGTGTGTGTGTGTGAATGGGTGCGCCGAGGTAGTGGATGAAGGCGACACCACAAAATGCAATGCGACTACTTGGAATGTATCAAGGAATTATGAAAAGGCATGTGAAAAATACTATGACTGACACCAGTTGTAAGTTGGCAGACAGACGTTAAAATAACTGAAAATAGCAGCTAGCTACATTGACGGAGAAGATAACGTATTTACGGGGGAGAAAAACCCTAAAACTAGCATGCCAACAATAAAAATACAAGACATTCGTTGCAAAAAAAAACTCGCAAAAATTACGGAAATGAAGCCAAGGAAAACAACAACCGGTTGGAGCGCCAAAATCTACGGATCTGACACCGTTCGTACCCGACATACAATCCCGGTTATCTCTCAGAACAATAGCAAAACATGCGAGAGTCATGTTATTCGTATGCAACAAATAGCAACACGAAGGTTGAGTAGGAAAACCCCTCCACAACACGCCTTTAGTCTTCCGACATACGGAGTGCATGTCGTAACCAGCGTAACACATGGAGCGTAGATAATTCACCTATTGCAGGAGAGTTCTTTCTTCCTAGGATCACCTGTCGTACCTCAAAATAACAAATCCGATGTTCCCACAAGAGCAGACGAATGCTTCGGAGACACCGATGGTCTAACATTGACAGCTTTCGTATGTCCTCTGCGCGTAGAGGCCACGTCTCTGGTCCATAAAGTAGTATAGATCGCACTTCGAGGTGAAAATTTTCCTTGACTGATATCACGTCGGAGCCACTGTTGTCGGAGGTTGGCAAAATCTACCCTGGCTTTCCCGATCTGAGAAGTAACCTCATTTGTAGTCAATCCATCAGAACTTATACAGCCGCCCAGGTAAACAAATTTATCTACCACGTCGATTGGCTCTTCTGCAAGCATGAGGTTTGGGTTTGGTCCCACCCAGTCTTGTGACAGCCCTTGAAACATTACAGGTGTAAAGCAAATGCCAAACCATGCAGAAGAATTACTAGGGTTTTCATAAAAGAAGCTACTCACGAGGTTGCTGAAAACTCTTCGACAGCCCACGACCGGTTTCGCCCTTCCAGTTTGGGCTCATCAGGTAGGCGCAGTTCCCGAGTTTCCGTCAACCTTATGAACTACTTGAACCGAAATTGGACTGTTGTCGAGAAATACACTCATTTGCAAATCAATTTGATTTTCACGAGATACTCAACTGAATCTCTCGTTTATGATATTCTACATAAAGTTGATGGAAACTCAAGGAATGCCTCTACCTGATGAGCCCCAAGAAGGGAGAAACCGGTCGTGGGCTGTTGAAGTTTCCAGCAACCTTGTGAGTAGTTTCCTTCATGAAAGTAAACTGCGATATCTCGAATATCGTGCCAACTAAATCATGAGGCGGCCTGTGTGCAGCACATTCAGTTGTAGAATATCATAAACGAGAGATTCTCGTGAAAACCAAATTGATTTGCAAATTAGTGTATTTCTCGAATTACTAGGGTTGTTTAAAATGGTCTGAATTTTTGAAGGATCTGAACGGAGGAGAGTATTATTGTCTTCATACTCAGTGTCTGTGAGTGAACAATCCGGGAGCATTTCGATTCCCGAGGTTTCAGAGACAGGCAGAGTAATTTCGACTAGTACGTCAATAACAACGAGGAAAGGCGAGAGTGGACAGCCTTGTCATGCACAACTAGATGTGGTGAACTCAGGCGAAAGCTTGCCATATTGTCGTACGCACCCTCAAGAGTTCGTATAGCGCCCTCATGAGGAATATAAATTTGGAAGGGGTACCTTTGATCGCTAGACATTGCCAATGATTCTGACGGTCGACAGAGTCAAAAGCAGCTTTCAGATCAATCTGGGTCGTCTACAGGAGTGGCGCTGTTCAAGAATTTGTCTCAAGATTAAGATGTGGTCGACGCATCCACGGCCGGGACGAAAACTCAGATTGATTCACACGAAGCTGTCTCTCTCGATAACCGACCAACCTACGCAAAATGATGCCAGGGGGCCGCTCAGGGGCGACGGATACCAGGCTGATGCTACGATGACTTTCGGATGACATCCTTGCGCCTTTTTTGAAGACTTAGATGAAGTTCGAAGAAATCTATTTGACTGGCATTTTCTTTTCTTTCCCAATCTTCTGCAATATGGTTATCAGACTGTTCATCACCTGTTTTTGAAGAGTATAGAGTGCAAGCCGTCCAGGCCAGCTGCCTTGTCATGCTTGAGGATTGATATATGACGCTGCATTTCGGCTGATGATGGCGAGCTCGCGTCGACGTTCCATACAGGTGTGCTGGATTCTTCCAGAGGTTGTGTTGAAGCAGACCAGCTAAACTGTTCTCCGAAGCTTTCAGCCAATTACCCTTCAGTGTTTTTCGCAGACACTTGTCTTCTTTTGGTCGGGTTGATTGCTCAGCTGAAATAGGGGGCAGCGAAAGCCTTCTACATTTTTTGGGTCTTGGAAATTCACCAGCGCTCTGTCATTTTTCGAACTCCTGGTTATCCGGTATCATCATCAAAAGCATGACATCAGTGTTCAACACTGATGTTTTACTGCCGTATTATCCGGTATCTG